TACCATAATACCATCACAGTCTGTAATTTTTTTTGCCATATTTCAATGATTAGGAACTCCAGTACAATATTGAATAGAAGTAGTATTAGGAGGCATTTCTAATCTTGGAGAAAGCTTTTGATAACTCATATTAGCTATGATATGTTCTGTAAGATTTTTATTTACCAGTTTAAGGAAGTTTCCATCTATTCCTAGTATTTATTATGAATTATTTGGTTTAATTAATCCTTTTCTGCACCTCCTTCTGAGAGATTCTTACCCTTTTTCATCTTCGTTTAGTGAAATAAATGAATTTTGTTAACATGTAAATTAGATGTCATAAAATTCATCTTTTTAGTGTACAATTTGTGGTTTTTAATATAGTGACAAAGTTAAGCTGTGCAACCATCACTATATCATTCTCCAACATGTTTATCACAAACTTCATACTGATTAGCACTCATCCTTCCCATTCCCCCTTACTCTCTGTCCCTAGGAACTAATTATCTATCAGTCTCTATGGATTTGACTATTCTAGACATTTCATATAGGAGGAATCACATAATATATGGCCCTTGTGCATTATTTAGTATAAATATACTATATAGGGTTGGGTATTCAGCTCAGTAACACTGCGCCTCCCTCACAAGCGCGAGGTCCTAAGTTCGATCCCCAGTACCAAAAAAAAATCTGTATATCTATATTGCAGCATGCATTAGTGCTCCATTCTCTTTTGGAGCTGAACAATGATCTATTAAGTAGATATGCTACATTTGTTTACCTGTTCATCGGCAGACATTTGGGTTTTATTCACTTTTTTGGGGGGAATACTGGGGCTCAAACTCAGGACCTTGTGCTTGTGAGGCAGGTGGCAGAACCACTGAGCTAAATTCCCAGCTTTACTCACTTTTGACAATTGTGAATAATGCTGTTATGAACAGTTGTATACAAGGTTCTGTGGGGACATAGGTTTTTAAGTCTCTTGGGTATATACCTAAGAGTGGTATCTTATGGTTATCATTTGCATTTCTCTAATGAGTAATGATATTAAACTTCTCATGTGTTTGTTGACCATTTGTACATCTTCTCTGAAGAAAAATTTATTCGTGTCCTTTGCCCATTTTTAAGTTAGGTTGTTCACCTTTTTGCTGCTGAGCTCTAAGTTTTCCTTATGTAATTGGATACTAGACCATTATCAAATATGTGACTGGCTAAAAATTTATCCCCTTCTGTGAGTTGTCAATTCTCTTTGCCTGTTTTTTCCCCAGCAATGAAGATCAAACCCAAGGTCTCAGGTATGTTAGGTAAACACTCTACCACCAGGATATACTTTGGCCTTTGTTTTCTTGATTCTTGATAGTCTTTTTTTAAAGCATAAAAGTTTTAAATTTTAATGAAGTTCAATTTTATCTTTAGTTGCTTATGTTTTTGTTGTCATGTCTAAAAAACTATTGTTTAATACAAGGTCATAAAGATTTAAATCTATGTTTTCATCTAAGTTTTATAAGTTTAGCTTTTGGGTAGGTCTTTGAACTGTTTTAATTTTGTATATTGTGTCAAGAGAAAGCCATCTTCATTATTCACACAAGGATATCCAATGGTCTCATTGATTTGCTGAAAACACTGATTTCATAATATCAAACCAACCTTGCATTCCTAATATAAATAACTGGACCCTGTTTGCCAGTATCTTGTTTATATAGTTACAGGAATGTTTATGAGAGATACTGGCCTATAATTTTTCTTTCTTGTAGTAGATTTACTATCGTTTGGCATTAAAGTTATGGTGGCCTTTCCATGAGTTGGGAATTATTTTTCTCTTTCAATTATTTGGGGGAGTCTTATAAGATTAGTGTCATTACGTTAAATGTTTAAAAGAATTCACTACTAAAGAAATATGGATCAGGAAGTTTGTGGGAAAGTTTTAGTTTTTACCTTCAATTCAATTTCTTAAACAGATATAAACCATTCAAATTTTCTTTTTTTTTTTTTTTGTACTGGCCATCAAACTCAGAACCTGCTAGGCAGGCGCAGTGCCACTGAATTAAATCCCTGGCTCTCTATTTACTTTCTAGAAATCCCATTTTATGTGGATTTTCCAATGTATTGGCATGATTGTGTTTGTACCATAATATTAATTTGTACCTTTCTTATTAATAGACTTTATTTCTCTAGAGTAGTTTTAGGCTACATTGAACAGAAAATACAGAGTGACCCAACTCGTGCACAGCCTCCTCTACTGTCAGCATCACCCGCCAGAATGATACATTTGCTGCATTTGATGAACCTACATGGATACATTATCATCAAAGTTCATAGCTTACATTAAGGTTCATTTTTTGGTGTTATATACGCTATAGATTTTTGACAATGTATAATGACATTTATCCACCATTATATAATCACATAGGGGTATTTTCATTGCCCTAAAATTATCTGTGCTTCCCCTATTTATCTTTCCTTTCCTCCTAATCCCTGGAAACCCCCAATCTTTTTACTATCTCTACAGTTTTTCTCTTTCCAGACTTTTCTGATTAGCTTCTTATACTAATATGCATTTCAATTTCCTTCTTTTCATGACTTTTGTAACTCATTTCTTCTTAGCACTGAGTAGTATTCCATTGACTGGATACATCATAGTTTATTCAGCTAAGGATACCTTCAATGATTTTCAATTTTTGGCAATTATTAATAAAGCTGCTGTATATACTCATGTGCATGTTTTTGTGTGGATTAAGTTTTCAGTTCATTTGGGTAAACACCAAGGACGCAACTGCCAAATCATATGGTAAGAATGTGTTTCATTTCAGAAATTGCCAGGCTGTCTTCCATAGTGCTAACAGTTTGCATCTCAACAAGCAATCAATGAGAGGTTTCCCATTGTTCCACATCCTCACCAATATTTGATGTTGTCGATGTTTTTGCTATTTGACATTGTAATGTGTGTACAGTAGTATCCATTGTTTTTATTTTCAGTTTTCTAGCGATATGTAATGAGCATCTTACCATGTGCTTATCTACCACTGTATATCTTTTTAGGGAGATACCTTTTTAGATCTTTTGCTCATTTAAATATTTTTAAAATTTTTATTGAGTTTCAAGAGAGGTGTGTGTGTGTGTGTGTGTTTTGAGAAAAGGACTTGCTATGTGGCTTTTGCTAACCTCAAATTAGTGCTCTTTCTGCCTCAACTTCCCGAGTAGCTTAGGCTACAGGTGAATGTCAATGTGCTAAGCTAAGAATTCTTTTTATAGTTTAGATGACAGAGCTTTATTAGACGCATCTTCTGCAAATAATCTGAGTTCTCATTTTCTTCACTGACAGTCTTTCTTCTCTCTCACCCCCCTTCCTCCTTCTTGATCAATCTTGTTAGAAATTTATCACTTTTATTAGTCTTCTCAAAGAACCAACTATTGGGTTTATTGCTCTTCTTTTTCTACTTTTTAAATGTATACTGAGACTGATTTATATCAATTTTTATTTTTCAAGTTATGCTAACTTGCTGTCATTTTTTAAAACCATCATTAATTCAAAATTTTGTCCAACATGCATTGTAATTTCTTTTTGAACATCAGTTATCTGGAAATATAATTTCCAAATACTTGAGGATTTTCTACTTCTTTTTTTTTATAAAAATGATTTCTATTATAATCCCATTTTGGTCAGAGAAAATGTTTTAGATGATTTTACTCTTTGAAATTTGTTGAGGCTTAAAGGACCAGCACATAGTAAATTTTGGTAAGTATCCCATGGGTATTTTGCCAATGGTGTTGGCTGTAGTGTTCTATGTATTAAACAGGTTTGATTTATTATTCCTTTTGTCATAAAATTCCATATTCTTGATTGATTGTACTACCAGGCCTTCATCATTTAGTAATTTTGCTTTCCATTACTTTAAAGCTATATAGTACATCAAAATACATACTATATCTTCCATTAAATTTGTTTTATCTTTTTGATATATTCCTTTGGGCCTTTAGGAGTGTTTCCTACATTTGCCATGACTGATAGTTTTATAACCATACTAGTCTTATTTTGATGATCTTTGTTTTGATTACCTTTTTTCCATTTTTTTTTTTACTTTCAATCTTTGCTTCTATACATAAAGTTTGCCTCTTAAATGCATTATTTATATTTAGGTTTAAAAATATTTATCTACGAAGTAGGAAACCTCTTTAAAATGACTCTAAATCAGCCCCACCTCCTGAAGCTAGAGCCTTGTGTAATCCTCTTCCCTTGAGTAAGGACTGAATCTAATTCTTCTCCAGTAAATTCTACTGATTAGCTATACTCATAAGTCATTTCACATACAAAGATTTAAATGTGTCTATAGGAAAAATACATGGTTTTGCTAGGTTAAAAGATGCACTTTCATAATTTTGATAGAGCCTACCAACCTCTATAGTTTGTGCTAATTTATATGTGTAAGTGCCTATTTAACCACATTCTTGCCAGTAGTGTGTTATCCATTTTATCATTTTTGATAGGTGAGCAATTTCTTATTAAATACTTTCACATGCTTGACTCAATTTTATTATTTCTTCCAGGAAATGTCACTATTAATTTCCTTAGCTCAATTTTACACTGCATTATTTTTTTGTACTTGCAGGAACTCTTCTACTTTAGCTCATCGTGGTGTAGTTACCAATATCTTGCCTAGACCCTCACCTGCATTTGTTTATGGTAATATCATCATGAAGAAATTTTGTATCTCTCTGAAATGTAATCTAGCAAGTTTTTCTTTTATGGCTTTTTGTGTCATACTTAGGCCTTCTTTACTCTCAAATAAGAAGAGAACATTAGGGCAGTGTCCAGAAGACTCTTTAGAGAAGAAGCAGGTCCAAACTGTAAGCCCAATCTGAGAAAGACTTCCTGCTGATGGCCTCCTGCAACATCTTGTTTTAGGGGACCAACACCATGGCACTGGGCTGCAAGACTGGCTTATCTTTAACAGAGAACTGGCCAGTTTAGGGGCCAAGTGACTCTGGATGCTAGACTACAGGGCCAATTATCTTTCCCTGGATGTGATGGACGAGCATTTTGTTCCCAATGTCACCTTTGGTCACCCTGTGGTATTTCTGCCTCTAAAAACAGCTAGGCCAGAACCCTATCTTTAACATGCGCATGATGGTGGCCAGGCTGGAACAGAGGGTGAAGCCAATGGCCATAGCAGAAGCCAATCAATATACCTTTCATCTGGAGGTCACTGATAACCTGGGGACTTTGATAAAAGATATGCAAGAGAATGGGATGAAGGTTGGCCTTGCTATCAAACCAGGAACTACTATTGAGTATTTGGCACCATGGGCTAATCAAATCGATGTGGCCTTGGTCATGACAGTAGAGCCTGAGCTCGGAGGACAGAAATTCATGGAAGACATGATGCCAAAGGTTCACTGGTTGAGGACCCAGTTTCTGTCTCTGGATATAGAGGTCGATGGTAGCATAGGTGCTGACACTGTCCATAAGAGTGCAGAGGCAGAAGCTAACACAACTGTGTCTGGCAGTGCCATTTTGAGGAATGAAGATCCCAGATCTGTGATCAACTAAGAAATGTTTGCTCAGAAGCTGCTCAGAAATGTGCTCTTGATCGATGAAACCACAAGAAACCCAGCGTTTATGTTCATGAAACCTTTTCACTGGAAAATAAGAACACAGACTACCAGATCACATCACAATTGAGGCAGTGCTGCTTTCCTGAGCAATTATTCCAGTGATTAAAATATTTTGTACAGAATATTCTAAGAGGTTAGAAATTGGTATTACCTACATTTTAGTGATGCAATTTAAAAATTAGAGTGAAATACCCTGTTTTTATGGGAGAATTGATTTTTACAGCATGAAAATATGGCTGTTAAGGTTACAACAGAAATGTGTCTTACTGCCTAAGGAGGGCATATATTGGCTACTATGAGACAATTTTTTTTTCTGTGTTTTTAAAAAGAATGTCCTACCATTTACCAGCTGTTTGGTAAAAGCAAACGAAATCTTTGTTTTCCTAATTCATATTACTGTATTTCTGATTTATTTATAAGCTTGATGATATGAGTAAAGCAGAACTAAAAAATATAAGCTTGGGTGGGATGGCAAACCATAATCTTGCATGGAAGATTTTTCACTTTCACCTACCCAGTTCATTAAAAATGATAAAAGTGATACATGAAGCCCAGGGATTCTAAAATGCAAGTATGGGTTTTATCAAGGTGTTGCATTGTCAAAGCAGGCTATTCAGTGATTCCTTCCGATTCCTAGTTTTTAAAATCTCACCCATCGTTCCTAAGAGTGCTGAATGCTGCTGTTTGTTAGCTCTGTACAGCAGGGAAAAGTAAAACCTTCATTTGGAATTTCCATTGTGTTGAGTGAATTCTGACTCTGTTCCTTTCTAGCTGTCTGACCTTAACAAATCATCCATCCTTTCTGCCCTTTTAACTCACTTATATTTTGAATGTACTCTACTGTAACAGCCATGCAGTTTATATTGCAGACCAAAAGAGGTGTGGAAAGCTTGCAGTACTATTTATAGAATTTATAGGATGCTTAACATAAAGTGGCTAACATTACAGAAGTTTATGTTTTGTTGGTTATCGAGTATTTTAATATAATCTATATATTTTTATATAATCTATAAATTATTCCTATAAGTGCTAGGACAGGTATTTTTGCTCCATTTTAAAAACAAAAAAAGTAAAGCTCAGCAGTAGGGTGGCACCATGGGAAGCATCTAGAAGGGTAGGATCTAGGGTTCTGCCCTCCTCTTTTAAACAAACAGAGCCCTTAGGAGGTGAGTCAGACAAAAGAAGCTGCTTTTATTTAACATAGTATTATTTTCAGTCTGACTTTACCCTGCACCAACATCAAGTGTCTGAGAATATTCCAGAACTATGGATCTTGACCCGAAGAATATATATTTCATCCCAAGAAAGACCAGCTAGGCAAAGAAATGACTGGCTACAAAGTTCATCCATGAACTAAGTTACTCTGAGCTGTGTTCCCAGTTATGTAGAAACTACAGATATGTATCGGATACTGTATTTTTGTAAACACTCTGTGACAAATATGGCAAGAAGTAACAGGACCAGTATTAAATTTCTTAAAAGATAGGATTCAAAATATTTACCTTATTGGGGATGGAATAGAACTTGGTTAGGTTTTTTCCTACACTGTGAGTAAAAATGTGTTTCTTAGTACTGTCTTAGTTCTGGTTTAGGGGGAACATGTGCCATGAATAGGTAGCATTTAATCCTATTACACCAGGCATAAAGAAGTAACTTTAATTTTAAAACTTACATAGAAGATTATATAATGTCAGATATGATGAAGATCTGAATTTATTTACCAGGACAACTTGGGTTTGTCTAGTTTTGTTTTCTTTTCCTTTAAAAATAAATGTATTAGCTGGGCATGGTGGTACACACCTGTAATCCCAGCATTTGGGAGGCTGAGGCAGGAGGATCCCTGTGAGTTCGAGAACAGCCTGGGCTACACAGTGAGTTCCAGGTCAGTCTCAACTACATAGTGAGATCCTATCTCAAAAAAAAAGAAAAAAGAAAAGGACGTTCTTTTTTAAAATTTTCCTAGGATTTTTAGAATTTTATTTCTTTTATTGAAATCTTTGGATGTTATATACTTTGTCCTGGTACAAACAGTGAAGTGTGGATCTAACTTAATTCTTTCCCCAGAAGCCTACACTGTGGTCCCCATCCTATTTACTGAATAATCATTTTCCTACTGATTAAAAAGCCATCTTATCATAGCCTTAACTCCCATACGTATTTGGATCTATTTCCGAACTATTCTATTCATCTGACTGTTCAAAAATTATCACACTCTTAATTTCTATAGATTTATAACTTTTATGTCTAATAGAGTTAGTCTCCCTCTTTTACTGTCCCTTTCTATCCAGTTATTTTTCCATATGAACTCAAGAATCAGCTTATATAAATCTTTTTAAAAATCTTACTGGTGGCACTGGGCGTGGTGGCTCATGCCTGTAATCCCAGCACTCAGGAGGCTCAGGCAGGAGGATCACTGTGAGTTCGAGACCAGCATGGGCTACATAGTGAGTGCCAGGTCAGTCTCAACTACATAGTGAGACCCTGTCTCAAAAAAAAAAATCTCATTGGTGGGCCAGAGATTTAGCTCAGTGGTGTCACATGTTTCACAAGTTCAAGGTCCTGAGTTTGATTCCTGGTACAAAAAAACCAAAAAAACAAAACAAAAGAAAAACGAAAACCCTATTGGTGTTCTTATTGGAGATCATGTCAAGTTTATAGACGAAGGGAAAGCAGTATCTTTAGGATGCTGATCTTTCCTATGTAAGAACATGGTACATTGTCAACATTTGTTTGGATCTTGTTTTATATACCTCATTTATATTTAAGTTTTCTACAGATAATATAACTTTTCCTAAGTATTTTTTCAGATGTTATTCTCAAAATATTTTCTTCCCTTATAGCATGAAATTGAATTATACAAAAACCATTGATTTCTCAAAATTAATTTACTAAATTCTTATTTTATTTGTAGTTTTTGGTTAGTACTCTTTAGTTTCTAGGTAAACAATCCAGTAATATCTGAATATTTTAATTTTACCTTCCTTTCTCTTCTAATTTCTGTATCTTTTCTTTCTCTTGTCTGTCTTGTCTAAGTCCTGCAGAACAATTTTAAATAATAGTGATGATTAGCAGAAATCTTTGTCTTGTCCTGGCTTTAATGAAATTGCTTCTGGTATTCTCAATTAAGCACAACACTGGCTTTGAATTGAGATAAATATATTTTATCATATTTAGGAAACACCCAGCTACTCCTAATATTAAATGATCCTTGCATTCACTTAATCATGGTGAATAACTCTTTTATTTAGAGCTGACAGGGTTCAAATCCTAGCATCACCATGTTAGTTATTTGACTGCAGGCATAAATACCTCTTTATTGATGTCTTCTTGGCTTTTAAAACAAAGATGGTAAAAATACTCCTTAGGTTGTTGTACAAGTCAACTAACTACATGGAGAGCTAAGCTATGCATCTTTTCATGTTTAAGAGATCTGCATTTTTTGTGAGCAGTCTGTTCCTAACCCTCCATTTTTCTATAGAATATTCTCTATTTTTAGAGATTCTTTACATATTTTGGATATTAACCCTTAATCTGTGACGCAAAGTACAATTATGTTTCTCGCTTACCACTTGTATTTTAGTTTTCTTATAGTATATTTGCATGCAGAAGTTAAGTTTTTTGCATTATTATTATTATCATAGTCAAATATATCTCCAATTGTATTTGGACTACTTTAAGAGGATTTGGTGGGAGGACTACATTATTGGCTCCAAAACTTCCCCCTTCCAAGTATCCCCTTCCTTTTGTTATATGAATTTACAATCCTTTCTACTAATGAGGTGGAATATATTTTCTAACTGATCTAAAGACAATAGGGGGCTAGGGGAGAACTGAGTGGCATTATTATGCAATACCGTTGGGAAAGCTTGCCCACCGTGGGTTATAGACCAGGGGGCAACATTTTTTTAAAAAATAATGGTCAGATAGGATTTGCAACCATATAATGCCTGTCTCATGTTACTGGGCCCTCCCCCGCTGCTGAACTGAAGCCTTCAAAGTGCAAAACACCACTCTTAGCTCCCCAAATGGGCCTTGGGACACATTTGACCTATAGGACATAGCTTGCTGACCTGTGACAGAGGAATTCATCCTGGTTTTTCTTCCTAGCGATTGTGTGGTTAATTCTATACAACTGCAACTCTGACCAATTTAAAAATTATCCTGACATTTGGTGTGAGAAACATATTTGAATTTCTTTTTCTACCTGACTTATATATTTATAGAACTAGATCCAGTTGTCCCAACATTGTTAATTCCTTAGGGTCCATATTGTTCCCCCTTGACTTACGACAGCACTTTTATTGTATCCTGAATTTTAATGCAGTTGGGCCTATTTCTGAAATTGCCTCTTGTTCCACTGTCTACACCTGTTCCTGTACCACACTTCAGAGCTAGAGACCTTATGCTGTAATATGTAGTAGGACAAGCCCTCCCCTTCCAAGTGCATTTTAAGGCATTTCGTGGGCTAGGTTTGCTCCTTTGCTCTTTCAAATGAATGTATCATCAACATGTCTAGCTCCAGAAAAAGAACTGATGGTATTTTGGAGGATCACAACAAATATTTCGACAAGGAAAAACTTTGGATTTTGAACTACTGAACTGCTTAATGTTACAGGTCTGACCAAGCTTTTTATTCTTCCAGGTATAGAACTTTGTTTTTTGTTTTTTTTTTGGTACTGGGGATCAAACTTGGGTCCTTGCTCTTGAGAGGCAGGTGGTGGAGCTAAAATCCCCAGCCTTCTCCAGATAGAATTTTGATAAATTTATTTTTTTTGTAATTTGACCGTTATGCTTGAGTTTTCAAATACATTGGTTAAAGATGTTCACAGAACTCTCATTAACCTTTTAATATCTGCTGTATTTATAATTATTTCTTTCTTTGGCTACTAATATCTATGGGAGTTCTTTGATACCTAGACTGAAATTTCATTCTTC